ATCAAACTAATCATTTTGGGAAAATTTGCCATGCCCAGACATGTCACAACACATCAAGCTTTAAAAAATACCTTCTTTTTCCACCGATAACTTATGCCAGCTGGGAAGTGATTAGGGCTATTTGTGTATAATAGGCCGTGGCGTAGTATGGGTAAATGGCTAGGCGACGATGAAAGTCCAAAGAGGTTTTGGAGCCCGAATACCTCTGTGGCAACAACCCCGTCCTCCCCCGACCCCTTACTAGTACGATACCGATAACGGACCATATTATACGATCATCGTTCTGTGTCTGTCATTAGTTCTACTTTATACCTATTACTTCTTCCTGGGAACATAGAGAATAATCTGGCGGATAATTACTGCCACAGATCTTGGTGTACACATTTTTTATGTGCGTAATACGTACATTAAATAGGTGTTACCCTTCGAACATTGCCGGTATGTATATAGGGCCAGTTCAATGATGAAATCCATTTTTACTTGCTTTCAAAATGATGCAAGTGGAAGGAGTATAGATGCTAGCATTTTTAGAATATTTTTTTTCATGTGAATTTAAAGAAAACTCCGCCTGAAAACTATAAACAAAACAAGAACAGAAAAGACAAGAGATGAGAAGCTGACACTGGTATTTGTTTATTGCAGCGTGCATCTATTTTAGCTCTCTGAAGAACTGTTGTGATAAAACATTATTTGTACTGGCCAACTTACAAAGGAAAGAAATTAGATTCATGGAATGATGATGTTTGTCCGTCAGTCCCACCACTATCATATGCCAGTCCCTGCAATGACTTTGCTCTTTTTGATTTTTTTAAAGGCATTCCTTTTAAAATATAGAGTGGAGTGTTGGAGTGGAATCTGAAGTGGAGTCTGGTATCTGGAGTCTGAAGTCTGAGTTGTGTTGATCCAGACTAAATTACAAATTTGTTTCCTGTCATTTACATGTGTTCATATCTAGGGCCGACGTTCATTATCGCGTTGTCACTGTCAAATAGTCACCTTGACAATATGCATTCTTGGGTTATTGAGGTGAACCGTCTATGAAACATTTCAATAAAGATCTGAAGACTTATCTGAACATTTGACTAACCGAGGCTACGACAATGATCTGATAGCGGAGAAAACTCAAAGGACTAAACAAACAAACCGCAACGACCTACTAAAATATGTCGAGAAGGATAAAGCTGATCGAATAACAGTTATCCTGATCTACAATTCAAACCACCCAAAGTAGATAAAAATCATCAAGTAAACACTGGTCAATCGTGGAATTGTGTGACACGCTAAAGTTAATCTTCCCGAACAAACCTGAAGTAGCCTACGGGAGACTAGAAAAAAGGCCTCAAAGACAGCCTAGTCAGAGCAAAGCTAATGCCAATCACTAAAACCATCCTATTAAATCTGGTCCCTGTGATGATATATGTGCAAAGCCTGTCAGCATATGATTGAGACCAACACATTTTCTAGCACAGCGACTAGCGAAAATCTGAAAATACATAATTCAAACAAAACACGCAAAATAGACAATAGAATTTATCTCATCACATGTAAGATCTGTAGCCTTCAGCATGTCGGAGAAACTGAAAAGGTATACCAAATGATCAACCTTCACAGATCTGATCGGATATCGAAGAAGCCGTGAAGAAGTCCAGTAGCAGAATACTTCTCCTGCTGCAGCCACGCTTTCAGTGATTAACACTTATTCCAATTTATCTCAACCCCAACTGGAGTTCCGAAACCAGTAAAGAAAAGCAATCTTACTTGATGCGTCGCTTTAGAACACTGAAACAAAAACAAGCAGTTTAAACCAAGAACACTAAAAGAAGAACAACCACGCACAAATAAAATCATATTTTTGCAGCTGTTTCTTTTAAATAATTCTCTAAATTTGCTTATTAGTCACCCAAGAACCTATAATTACTACCATAACAATGAAATGTCTGGGATATAATTTGTGGTACATAAATTTACATAACATGTCAGATGACGACATGGCTCATCCATTTTTAGGTCAATGTAAAATATTTATCAGCATCAGAATCAAGTTGAAGTAAACTAATTGAAACAAAAATTTCATAGTCATGTAAAGTTTAGTAACCTCAACAAATTTGGGGTGTGTGTCTTGCCTCCGTTTTTGTATTTGCCTTTGAAATATACTCATTCTGAGTCGAAAATGCTCAGGCTAGTTAGAAACTTGTTTTGCACAATTCATTGTCAGAATTTTGCATTTATATTAACCACTCTAGGACAAAAGTAATCTCTTGCTGGATTCAGTGTATTTGAAAGGATTGCTATTTGCCATACTATATATATAAACTTTACAAATGCTAACTGATAGTATATTGTTCAACCTTATCCAGGAAAGAAACATTAAAGTACAAATTAGTTATAAATTGGCATATCTGTAACAGCTAGTACTGTCTCCTGTCAATGGTAACAAATCACCCTGGCCACAAGGGCAATGTTAATTAACCTATTTTCTTTCTAACTTAATTGGTATATTATTAGGTAACTGGAGGGAGAAAGTTTTTTAGACTAACAGTGCTGTGTGATTTTTTGACCAGACCATGCTAAAGAGCTTATTTTACCTTTGTAAAAATACACATCTGAAATCATAGTATCAGCTTTTACATAATTGCTATTTCCTAGCAATCGCACTTTAATTTTTCTTTCCTGGTTTTAATCTAAGGGGAGGCCCCAAGAATTCGTACAATTTTATATCCATCGTAATACGATACCCTAACTTAAAAGACCTCTTTTATTAACAGGACTGTGAGCCAGGTGGATTCTTGAGAATTGTTATTAACTACTGTTTACCTCCGTTTCTTAGTCCCCATAGTGGCCATATAATTGAAATTTGATGCAGGTGGGTGCGTGTGACTTAATAATGTCTTTCATTATTCTTTATTTGGATCTACTATAAAAGCCTTGTTACTTCATGTATATTTCAGCCACAAATGAACATTTAAAATGGTTCTTTGAATAATTCAGAAAAAAAAATTGTTATTTGCTACCAGTTCCTAATTTGTCGGTCTCACAGAATGATGCACCTATACTGTTACAATTTCAAATGATTTGCATTTTAAAAACAAAATAATGTAAGACCATTTTAGATGCTCCAACTTATTTCACACGTGAACTGATGTTTTCCATACAATCATTTTCCATCTTTTATACTGGGAGACTTGCGTAACAAAGACGTTTTATCCACTTGTACAGACTAAATTTAAAATTGAAAAACCAAACAAAACACTTGACATTAGACCTCCTATTTATGATATGTAAATTTAAAGAATGGTCTAAATTTGAAATAAATAGTAAATTTAGTATATACTGGAATGCATATCAAGCTCAAAATTTAAGTCCATCACACACGCACGCACAACGCACTTGTGTATATGTTAAGTTGTTTTTAATATCAGTCTTTGATACTCTATGGTCAGAGCTTATAATTTTGTTAGACATAATTGGAGAGAAATTATTTAATTATATTTTTCCTTGGAATTACAAGGTGCTCATTGAATGTTTGGACTTAGGATTATAGTAAATGAATGTAAAGACATTCTGAATTGTGATACATCAAGATTGAGTACATCAGCACATTCAATATTATTTTAATTCCTACCAACATTCTCTACGTTTGGAATTGTGATAGAACATTTAGGATTATTGTGGATTTAATTCACAATAATGTCAGTCCCTCTAAAATGTTCATTTTGTAAATTAGAGAAGTAAATTCAGTTTCTGATTTTACTATATTTATTAGTTTCGCTTCTTTCTGTAACTTAGTTTAAGACCATATAGTTTTTATACTTCATATAGACCAAAATTTTAATATACCAAGAGATGCCAATTGTTGATACGGTTCCATTTAGATTTGTTTGGTCTGTTTGAAAATTTTGATTGTCTGTCGTTCGAAGTCTTCATCTCATACCACTCTACAAATATGGAAGTGATCGTAGTGATGAAACATATTGATAGAAAGACGGCAATTGAACCAGTTTCTTTACTTCAGTCTGCATTATCCCAGTATCATGTCTTTTAAATTCTTGTAAAATATTTTGTCTTCACATTTGTTTTATTGTCATGAATCGAACGATTAGATTTAAGACACTTTGCAAATCATACATGACTATGACAGTCCCATCTTCATTTTATTAAAACTGTTGACACTCAAGAAATTATAATAATTCATTCAAACTAGTTATTCATATAAAACAAAGTTATTATTTTGATACTAGGTTTTATATCTGAAGATATACTGATACAGGTATGTCCGATAGGGAAGATGTTGATGTGGACAGAAATATAAAAAAAAATATTTTGAATATTATAGCAAACGCTTTAACCTGTTGCATGAATGTTGTTTGAACAAGGTTTTTGTCAATTTTGATCGCATTTGTGTTAAAAATGTTTTTTAGTAAATTCCATGTTAATGTTCATTTAAAAAACATTTGAATGACTCTTGTGTCTATCAATGTTACTTGGTATAAATGTATCCATTTATTATTACTATTTACTGATCATACACTTTTAATATGCCTCTAGAGAGAATCACATTTCAAATGCTCATTCCTTTATGTACTTTGACCCTGGAAAGATTAACATATGAGAAATAAAACACCATACATGCAGGGTTTGGTGATTTGTGGAGGCATGTGAAACTGACAGGATGAGAATTTTGGGAGCGAGCGCTGTGATTGGTTGATTTGTAGTTTGTGCTGACGAATGCAGTATTCACGCGAAATATCTACATATAAAGTCATGTGTCTCAACATTTAATATTGTGCATGTGTGTGTATGTGCGTTTGTGTGTGTGTCTGTATGTGATATTTGGCTTTTTAACGTAGCTCTAAAAACATTTCAGTCATAGCGCTACGATGTCTGCAGTATGGCAGTTTATTTCGATGTCGAACACTGAGGCATCATGCCACAGACGCATTATCATGACACCAGGCCGACCGAGCCTAACACTAATTTCTTAATGCTGAGCGCCTAACGAGAGACTCGGGTGGATTTCGAACCCGCGACCTCCCGCATCCGAGGCGGACGCTATAACCACTTGGCCACCGGAGTGTCATAAGGCTCTGAAAAAAATTGCCTAAATGCTGACCTTAACCGCATTGCTGAAGACAGGTGGACGTACAAAAAGTCACCATTAATCCATTCGCCAGAATTGCTTTACGCAACGGCCAGTTCAGTGAAATACAATACAATACTAATTTGAAATAATTGCTTGGACAAAATTTCCTAAATATGATTTTCGAGATATTCATCATTTTCCATTTAGATAAGCATTCATAGAAAATTCTACAGGAAACAGTCTTTCATCTTAAATAATATTCCCAATCAATATAAAGTCAAAACGTTTCGTAGCATTGACATTGTTTTTATTTCTACCGAATGGTTGTATACAGTTAAGTTATGTGTAAAATGTTTAACATTTATTTCATGGCTACTAGCTTGTCTATTGTCCCCCACCGTCTCAAGGCTGGAGCGTAAAACGTTTCCAAAATTTGTGTGATACGTCATGGGTAATGACTCTGTGACATATGTGAAATCGTTCTTATAAATAAAGACATCGGGATCGTGCTAATTCTGAGATCAAAGGTAAACTTTAATCGAAATCAAATGAAAATATGAATCATAACGGTTTCCTCAAGCCATTCGGAGAGTCTTAGTTAAATCAGGGGCAATAACTCTGTAAAATGTATTCAAAAGCTGCTTATAATATAACTCATCCGGTCAAGAGCCATAGCCGTAAAATGTATTCAAAAGCTGCTAATGATATAACTCATCTTGTTGATTTAAAGTTTCACAGTCCTTTTGTTCAAATCAAAAAAGCTAATGCCGCTGCGTTTAAAAGCAAGTGGGCTGCATATCTTTAATAAACTTTGAATCTATTCATTGAACTCTTCTGAGTCATTGCTTGAATGAATATAGAGGTGTGTGTGTGTGTGTGTGTGTGTGTGTGTGTGTGTGTGTGTGTGTACACACGCACGCTTTTCCATGCCATGACTCAGGACAATAATGTCTGCGAATCTGGACTTCAAAACGTCATAGCGTAAAACGTAGAGGGGAGTGCTGGAATGGAGTGTATACTGAGTCTGGAGTCTGGGGTGCATTAATCTAGATGAAGTTATAGTGTTTGCTTGTGATCATTTGTAGGTGTTTATGTCTAAGACTGTAATTAGAACTGTCACTATAGCCCAAAAATCCCAACAAATGCACACACACACACAAGAAATTGATGTAAATTCCACGAATATCTGGAATACTTTCAAGAATTTTCAAGTATTTTAACATTACTGCTAGTTTAATATTGTACTAGTATATGTATACTGTTACATATGAAGAAATATTTTGTAATGTGAAATGTATTCAAACTACTCCTAGGACAGGCCCCCACTCTGAACGTCGCTGATTCTGCTGTGTGAGTGCCAATGTTTGTCTTGCCTGTCATCAATCTTGGTATCGTCAAGTGGGAATATATATTACGACGCTGTATCAATTAAAATCTCTGAGAGTGTCAATAAAGACGAACCAGATTACGTTGCAGGATAACCGTACTGCGTATGTCAACATTATCACACTGTTTTCAATGCACATTAAAGACTAATCGTCTTATGTGCAGGATAACTATGACCATCCTGGTTATGTAAAATTGTAGATATTCAGCTGACCAATGCTATTTGACTGCTTTCGCTGTTCTAGATATTAAAACAACGATAGTTATTCACAATACTAGCCAGTGCTAGTTCGATAAATTAACGCTGTATCACATGACGATGAATGTTTCTTCACGCGTCGTAGACATCTCTGCTGGCCAACGGCTAAATAACGAAGACGAACGTCGTTCCCATCGGCCTTCCTTCATCAGTTTAAGGAAAACATATAGTATGGTGGTTATGTTTCTCCAAAGAGAAAAAAAATTACACAAAGACAATTTATTTATCATCGACCCAACCATTGGCTATAGCTTGCCTACTTATCATTATAAGATTTATGTTTGTACTAAGAGAGAGAGAGAGAGAGAGAGAGAGAGAGAGAGAGAGAGAGAGAGAGAGAGAGAGAGAGAGAGAGAGAGAGAGAGAGAGAGAGAGAGAGAGAGAGAGAGTAATTTTCACTGTAATTTTGACAGCGTTTCCAGTCGTCATTAGTATGAACAATGGTTTGGTTTTGTTGGCTTTAAGGCCGTTGTTTAGCAAGTGATAGGCAAGCAGTCTTTCTTACATTCACATGTTGTCAGTCAAAACTCGAACTCATGCTGACAGACGTGAGTTGTGTGATTGATCTGTCATGGCGAACATCTTAGGCCACTCGACCCCTCGGGATCCTGGTATAAGCAACGACCTGATGTACTCTAAGCTTTTTAGATTTAACAAACTCATTACAGGAAAATAAATTGGTTTGGTACAGGAGAATTTAACCAGTGCTGTATAAAAAATTAGTAAGTGTTAAATTTTGGACACTGATACAATAGTGTGATGTATTTTATATTCTGCCATTCATAAGAAACGCAGCATCTATCGTCGAAGACTGTAACAGTAATTATTGCAGAATTTAAGCCCTTTCCTCTAGTAGTTTCTGGATGTACATTCGTCTTCAATCTCACTGGCGGACTGTCTAAATACTCGCGCCTCGTTTATGTACTGACCTGCGTTATTCAACATGTTTTGCGAATCGAATGTAATGCATTTTGTACACTGTGAGTACTGTATAGCTGTCGCTGCTTACTGTTCTCAGTCTTTGTTTTTTATACAGATAAACGAAGTTTTGATTTCCTAGTACAAAAGCAGATTTTCGACCGTGGGATTTGTGGCTTGATCACATAAATATTTTGCATTTTATTGTAGTATTTCCACCAACGGGCGAATATAACGTCGTATTGTAGGAATCACATTACACTGCTTGCGGAATATATCTTACCGAATATCCCAATAACATCGATTTTGCTATGAATGTAGGTATTCCAGTCTATATCGGTTTCTCTAGAAGTAAAGAGAAAAGTTCGTGATTGATTTCAGGCTAGACAGGACTGTTGTAAATAGTTTTGTAGTGACTTCAAGAGTCCATTCTAAAGTCACTTACTTCTGTAATTAAGACACGTTGTAAGTCTTGTAAGTCATTAGGACAGAACCATCCCATAGGGACACAAAATTAAGTGTTCTTGGTCACTGTCTAATTGAGGAAGGTCGGTTTAGGAATAATCAGTGCATCATGAAATCCTGTCAAATCAGGCAATACAACATTGCATGCAAGTTTTGGATGTCGATATTGTGCCAGGGACTGCAGCATCACCAAGGACTTCCATGGGAAAAAATACATTCAGACATAACCTGTAAACCTGCAATCATGTATGTCATTCAAACAGAATTAAACATGTTCCACAAGGACATCGTGTTCAATATTCTTGCTTACTGTATGAATGAAGAAAGGTTGTAATGGTTACACTGCTTAAGCAAATCACGATACACCCAAACAGTACTACAATGCATGCAGGACAGTAATATTGTTTCAAAGAATTGAGAACCATCTGAGACTTAATTTGGAAATTAAGTTACACGGAACTAGTTAACCTCTAAAAGTCCTGACATGGGATATATTATACTTCTCGTTCAACGGAGAAAATAACGAAATGAAGATCTCGATTTCTCTCATTCTTGCTTTGAGCAAGATGATATAGTTACTTTGTCAACGCTGAATGCGTCACTGCAGGCTATTTTTGTGTCATCCTTGTTTCCAGTGTTGCTTTTATTAACACATTTTATCCAACATGCTGAGCTTTGTGGAACACTTATCAAGGCTTGATGATGCTTTCTTTGGCTTCGATTTTCTCTTCTTCATTGTTCAGCTGACTGACCATGCGAAGTTTTCTCAATGAATATTAGAGACACAATGGCATAAAATTTTTGTATTTTTAGTAGGCCGTGAATTACTGGATTATCCAAGTGAAATATAAATTTCAGAAACTTACTGGAGTGGAATACCAGAAATAGTTCTTCACTTTGTATTTTTATAGCTAGACCACGTGATGAATAAGATTATGACCTATAAATTTGAAGAAAAATTTTTTAGACACTTGCTTGGTCCAGTGGTAGGTATTACCGCCTCGCATGCAGACAAACCAAATAACACAATTTGTATATGCATTTCTTTCTTCAAATTTTGCACTCTTTTACATAGAATTGGGAACGAGAATTATTTTACTACTATTATTATCTGCGCGAATATACACAAACACTGCAGAACATAAACATTAAACAGGTGACATTATCGCGCGAGAAACAGTCAGAAATCCGATGCTTCAGTCTGCTATACAGGTGCCATTTGCGCAAGCCTACATGTGTATTCACGGATAACTGCATTACACTTCCGATCGTGAACCGCAGACGACATTCAACCTCCATATTAGTCGAAGTAAGGAATCTGAAGACAAAATTATTACTGGTTGCCGGTATATATTATTGGCTTACTAGATTAGGCCGGGTATAAGTGAAACGGGTAGGGAAGTGTGTATTGAGAAATATATTTTTAATTTTGTTGTTTTCAGCTACGCTTTTTACCCGTTATTGGCAATATCATGCCCAGGAAATGGGGGATAAGTACTTTTCCCAACGATACACAGATTCAACCAACTGGCAGATATCGACCCTGCCACTTTTGTATTTCGATACTAAACCGACGAAGTTATCGCGGCGCGGCTCCCATATTAATTCTGATATACAATATAAGTCTGATATATGATATAAGACTCAATGTTCTATCAGGCTTAAATAAAGTTTACTCTTTTATTTCACCGAACGTTTATATAGGGTCTATACGAAAAGACTTGGAACCATTATTATACTGTCCTCTTTTATTATATATTGCTGTATGTACATCAAAAATAAATTACTTAACAAAAGAAAATGCCAATAAGAATTGAGTGTTCGTCTTTAAAACTCTGAGTCAAAGATGACACAATTATTGCGAATACGGATGACTTGAAGATTTGAAGCGATGCCAATTATTATCTAATCATAAGAAATAGATGTTGTTAATGATCCTTCATTCTGACATAAATAATCTATTTATAA